CTGCATCTGAGACATAAGCGAGTCGGTGGGTGTGTCCACGTTGTACTCGGCATTGTCTGTGTCGGGAGGTTCTTCGACCGTGGCGGTCCGTGCTCCTCCTCCCTCGCCGACATGTAGTCTCTTGGGGCAGGTCCCTATGTGGGGCCGCAGCTCATCTGTAGGTGGTGACTGCTCTGTAGTTTTGCAGCACCAGCATATGTCGTTGCAGCGGGCGGATGAACGCTTGCGCTGACGACGTCTGGGTGCTGACGAAGTGCACAGTCGTGGTGGCGGTATCATCACCAAGTCGTCGAGTCGAAATTCTGCAACTCTGTTGTTGACTGGTAGCTTAAACCATTGGCCCCCCCGGATCCTGAAGCAAGTCGCCCAGCTCTGGATCCCAAAGCTGCCGAAAGCCATCAACCTCAATCAGTTTCCCAACTGATAGCAATGATGGGCAATCTGGCAAGGCGAGGGCTGAACGATGTAAGCCAACCTCGGGTAGCCGTATGTCGTAGTGCTCGTTGACAGTACGATCGCCGTTGGCGGTTTCCAGAATATGCTCCTCGCGAATAGATATGCGATCCGATTCGGTCTGCGGCAGCTCGTTTTTTTTTTTTTTTTTTTTTTTTTTTTTTACCCTGAATATGATGCGCAGATCCACTGTCGAGAACCCAGGAGCGTGTCAACGCAGCGGTCGAGCGTGGAGGGTCGACTTGCGAAGTCGTTGTCTTCGTCTGGGGTGACTTTGATGACTGTATGGTAGATTCATCAGAATCTGGAATCGCAGTTGGTGTGACCACCGACCCCATGTTGTGTCGGTAGTCATGTAGATCTTTGTACCATAATTGTGCCTCCCGTTGACAATGTTGTAGGGCGTCGGCACTCTGTTTCCACCACCATTGTGGTAGCGGGTCTGGTACTTTGACAATATCGCCCTCATTCGGCATCTCCTTCCACTTATCCAGTCTGGCCTTGCCGGAGACGATGTGCGTGTAGTATTCCACATTATGTGTGTCAAAACGTATCCGACGCCGTGTTTTGGTGGAAGTTGTAGTGGCCTTAGTGGAGGCCATGAGGGTCTTGTCACGCATGACGGAACTGCGGTCGGAGCGGCGAGAACGTCGATAGTTGGCAGGGGATCGTGCTCTGAAGTGGGGAGAACCACGGGACGAACCGCGGCTCGTGGAACCTCGGCCACGTCCTCTGTCACTGCCGTATGATCTATCGCGGCCACGTGGGCTGCCACGTCCTCCGCCACGGCTGTCTCGCCCTCGGGAGGTAGATCGCGAAGATCTGTCGTAGCGACTTCTCGACTGACTGCGAGAGTCTGGAGACCTCCTGGAGGATGATCGAGATCGGTCGTATTGGCGTCGGTTGTCACGTCCATGGTGTGAATCTTCTGCGCAGCGGAACCCCCCGCGTTGTGAAGAGCGTTGGCTCCCTGATCCGCGGGATGGTGGTCGGCCACGGCTGTCCTGACTGGAGGTCCGTGGGCGACTCGGGCTTCGCTCGGGTGTCTTCGCACCAGGTGCCAGGTGGGCGTATTTGCATTTGTCGCCCTTGGTGCACTTGTTCTGTGCGAAGTCTCTGCACTGCGACATGCGTGGGAAGTTGCACTTGTCGCCTCTGGTGCATGTGTTGCGCCTGGCGGACTCGAAGCAAAATGGCTTCGAAGCTGGCTTCTTGGGATTCGCAGGGGCTGAAACGCTGCGGCGGGAGTTGCCGCCTGCGGTCGATGCTCTGGAAGATCTGGTGCTCTTCCAATCCCTGGAGAAGGTCAGCAAAGCCTTGCATCGATCACCATTGCGACAATTGCCTGTCTTCCAGGCGGCGCATACATTGACTTGATAACGAGTCTCATGTTCGTACCGTAACTTATTGTGATTCTTCTCCAGTTGTTTCAGCTCCAGTACGTCCAGGACGCGCTGTCGGAGCCAATCATAGGTACGATTCGGGTCGCTGATCTTCATGCGCTGGCATTCGTACATATCTTGTTTCATCCAGGCATGTCTGCGAATATGTGTGCGAAACAGAGATTCCAAGATCTTCGGATCGGGTGCCTCTCGGCACTCCAATAGTAAAGCGTCCCAGTCAGTAATGAAACGTTGCAAATCATCATCTCGCATCCTCAGTTCTTTGAGGCGCTCGAAGTCATGCAGGTCGTCATCAACCTCTGTCAATTTGTAGGGCTGTAGGATGTGCCAGTAGATCTGGCGTCCTTTGAGCATGCGTCCTGCTTTGTGCTCTCTGGTTTCGATGAGCCTGATTTGGTAGCGCAAGTCTGAGGATAAGATGTCGCGAGTTTGCAATCGATGCTCTCAAAGTCTCCACTGTCTTGTAAGTCCTCGAAGGTACACTCGGGCTGTTCAGCCACGCATAGGAAGGCATATGCTTTGGAGGGTCGCCCTGAGGCGGCCCCAAAGTTCTTCCGTACCTTTTGCTGCCACTCAAGCAGCTGCGTGATCTTAGGCTAGACAGGGACTCGGACGGTGTCGGACTCCTTGATAGGAGTAGCGGTATTGACCGAAACCGCAGACAACGGTTGCGAGGGTATCGGGACACCGTCGGTAGTTGGTTCTGTGCGCACGGGAGACACGTGTCGTGTCTGTGTTGAAGCTGCCACGGAGGCTGCTCCTGGTGACGTACGTCGTTGTTGTCCTGCAGAAGCTTGTGGTGATTCGGCGGACACTGCCGTCGGCCTGTGAAGGTCGGTTGCAGGTTGAAGGTGAAGTGTGGTGTCGTTGGTGTGGTCAATCAGCTGATTTGTCCAGCTCGTCATATCTTCGTGTATCTGGTCCACCTTTTGGCGTGTGTACTCATCAGTATCCCGAGAACGCTGTGAATACCGATCGAGTCATTGCTCGTGGGCTCGGAGACGGGCGCCGTGTGCCTCCAACTCACTTTCCAGACGTGCGAGGTGCCCTTCAACACGTACTTTCTCAGTATCTCTCTCACGAATAACCTGGGAGAGCTAACTGCGTGTGGTCCGCCGCCTTCTCAACCTCCTGCGACCTGTCAGTGAGGCGGGCGAAATCGTAAACCGCGGGAGGAGAACCCAGCCGGCCGGTCTGGGCTCGTCCGACACGCAACTCTGCCAGGGCGTCCTGTGCGCCAGGAAAACGCTGCTCCATGTCAGAGATCCGGTTAGCGAGTGGCTGCACGACAGCGTTGGTCGCATCAAGCCTTTGAGTGATGACTCTCTCAGTACGTTGCAGCATGTCGATCAGGTGCGACGAGTTGGCGTGTGCTTCGGAGCGAAGCGTCGCCGTAGTGTGGTCCATGTGGGATCGAAGTTCGTTGATCTGAGACTGAACATCGCCAAGGTCGGTGGCCTCGGCTGGTGGTGGTCGGTTGCGGAGCTGGCCATGGATCTCGTCGTGGAGGATCCTGACTGCTGAAACGCCTGTGTCGCGTGCGAGCACAAGCTGTTGCTCCATCTGCGCGAGGTAGTTGCGCAGGTTCTCGACCATCGCCGATCGTTCACCTGAGTGTGACATCTCACGGTCAACCTGGTGCTGCAGCTCACCTAAGATGCGTCGATCTTCGGCGATCCTGGAATCAATGATCCCTAAGGCGCCGTCAAGATCTTGGCGTAGAGCAGCAGTGTTGGCAGCGTTCGTCTAGACGCTCTGCAGTAGTCCAGAGTACTGCCTGGACACGAAGGTTTCAACCTGGTCTCTGAGCTCAGCTATCTCACCTGCAGCGGACGCATCCGCAGGCAGGTCGTCTCAGATGGAGAGGTGGGGGGCGTCAGCTTCCCTCGGCACCCTCTCGCGAGGAGTGCATGGCCTCTGCGAGGCAGTACGCGGGTTCGGCCTCCTTTCGTCGTATGGGCCTGTGGCCCCACGACGGTTGCGCAAGGACGAGCTGCGGCTAGGACCGTGTGTATGTGGTGTCTCATGAGATGCTACCTTGGGGTACTGCGTCTGCGGCTGTGCCGCCACTGGTCTACTGAGTTCCTCGAAGGTGGCTACGTGCTCCGCAACAGGAACGGTCGCAGGGCTGGGGGTACCAGCACCTGAGGTCCATCGGCGGTTAGCGCGAAAGCGCCCTGGAGTATCAGGACCAGCGAGGCTTTCGCCTGACGCAGTTGGGATTGCTCCCGACGGAGGAGGAGATGGAGGATCGAAGGTAGGCGTGTGAAACTCCCTACTGCCTGCTCCTACTCCTTCTCCTGTCCCCCCGCGGGCGGCGTGCGGTGAAGTTCAGCAGCTAGCCGCGCCTCGGGTCCGTCGGAGCTGGGGGGGGGGGGGTACCTGGGACACCAACACAGTCCGCACTAAGGCTCTCCAACTCGTCACCGAGCCGTCGCGCCGTCGGAGAGCTCGGACGCGAGGCCCCGATGGACCCCTTACGGCGCAGGCGCCGCATGGGTTCCATCGAGGTCGCGTCGCGAGATTGCGACGCGGGGCTGTGAGCTTTAATAAAGGGCTGATAACCGGTGTATGGGGTTGGAGTACAAAGGCACAGAACCCCTGATCCGCTGGTAGAGGAAAGGAGGGAAAGATGGATATTTTTCCTCCTGCACGATCAAAGGTCTGATCGATCTATTCCAATACCTGAGTCCAAACGGCCAGGCGCAGGAGAGGTGAGGATAAGGAGTATATATGAGGGTATTACACGGGTTCTATTCACAACAACCGCCTGGAGCCCACGGATCCTGGAAAACCGATGCACCGACCGAGGCAGGGACAAGAGAGGTGGTGAGAAAATGGATCAGGACAACCAGGACATCCAAACCTGCACGGTAATGGGGAGAGGATCTTAACCCTATGGTTCTTGATCCACCCCAGGCCAAGGTTTCCAGTGGGCCCAGACCTTTGCAGGGGCTGACTTGGCTAGCAGCGCTCGCAGCACAATCCAGCTAGGAGGAGGAGGAGGAGGAGGAGGAGGAGGAGAAGAGGACGAGGAGAGGAGGATAGAAGGAGGAGAAGGAGAAGGAGGAGGAGAAGGAGGAGAAGGAGCGGCGAGGACGAGCTGTCTACAAGGAGGCGAAAAGGGCCGATGCGATAAAGAGCCTGCCAGGTTCGCCCGGAACACCGCCGCCGTGTGCAGGAGATCGAAGACGGCGGTTCCTGCTTTGCGCCCCCCACCGCCCTCCCTCTATCCCCTCGCCCTCCCCTTACGCCCCCTGTTTCCGAGCTACTTTTTCTGCCCCAGCTGCTTACACACAGATACTCAGCACACGACACTCTGTCTCACGACTCTCTATCTGTCTTTCTTTAGCGCTGTATATCCCTGTGTCTCTTTCCCCCCCTCTCTCTCACTCTCTTGTTCTCACTCTCTCTCTCTCTCTCTCTCTCCCTCTCTCCTTCTCTCTCTCTCTTTTCCTCCTTCTCCCTCTTTCTCTCTCTCTCTCTCTCACTCTGTCTGTCTCTATACAAGCATCAAAAATAGCTTCTCTCTCTTTCCCTTAATTTCCCTGTTTCTTGTTGTTCTCTCCCTCTCTCTCTCTCTGTCTCTCTCTCTCTCCCTCTACGACCCTCTCATGCACAATCGATGCGCGCCGCTCTCCGAGTGTCCCACCCGAACGACGGGCCGCCGTGCGCAAGAAGGAACAGGCGAGCGAGGGAAAACCTCATACACGCGCACAAGATGGAAGAGACGGAACCCCACCCTCCCAACCCCACGAAGCCTCGCTGGACATACCATCGGCAGTGATGTTGACGTCGCTCGCCGCGTAATGCTGCTGATTGCCCCGTCGGGCACGCAGTAGACGAGGTCGTGGATGTCACTACCTGGGCATTGTGCGCAGGTCGTCTCCATTCTCCAACCCGCATGCTTCGAATAGCCAGTGTTCCAAACGGGGTTCCTCAGGGTGCGGAACTCCTTGCATGAACTCCGTTCACTTGATTGTACGACGCATCGTCGCTGTCAGGCGTGATCGGGTCCTTCTGTGACAAGCGAGCACCGACGGGGGTGGCGCGGCTGGCTCGTCCAGCGCAGCGTTGAGCAGCGAACGAGCGGAGGGCGCCACAGAGGGGGACTGGACGAAAGATGGACCACTCCTTTCAGCAGCGGGCTAATGCGACAGAAGGCGGGCGGCGCACACGTACAGGCCGCGACCCAAAGGATCGGGCGGTCCGAGAGAACGCTGGCTCCAGCCCGGACGGGCCACCGGGCGCGGCTGTGGCACGAAAGCACGGAGCCCTCAGCCCCCCCCCTGGGGCCGAGGGGCAATCATCGCGACCAATTGTACATGGCCCTCTCAGCAGAGAAGCGGCAGGCCTGCAGACGGCGGCCTGGACGTGCCAGGCCTCGATGCGGCCGAGAGCGGCAGGCGACCGACTATTACTTCTGCTTGTCTTCTACCCCGCTGAGCTTGTTCCGCGGGGCAGTTGTGTGCGACGCCATAGCCAAATTGAGCAATGCGAGAAGTAGGTTTTCGCTGGCGAGCGACCCTTCTGCCAGCCCGAGGGGACTCAATGATTCATCAAAGGAGCCGTCACCAAAACAAAAATCACCAGCTTCCGCCTTTCACATCCATGGCATTTTGATTTGGCACCGTCGCCGAGTATCAATTTACGGCAGTACAGCACCTGCCAGAGTACATTCGCCGAAGTGCCCCACTATGCAGGCGAGTCAGCTGACCGACCGCGGTCAGCGCAAGCGCGCAGCCGACGAGGAGATCGCCTTCACCTCGCGGGCGTCGCCCCCGGAGGCCGGCCCCGAGCCCTGTGACCAGCAGGAATTGACTCTTGCTTGACCTCCTGGCGGCGCGAAGCAAGCCTGATGCTCCTGTGGTTGAGGCCCGCAGGACCTCGGCCTCCCTCCAACCTCGGGAACGCATCGCCCGCCGCTCGCTCCAACCGAGACCACGCAGGCAAGCTGCGCTGTGCACAAAAAACTCGGCTGCCCGCCGGAGCTCCGCCCGCGCCAGGCGGACCGTTGGCCCTCGGGCGGCCAGCGACTGCCCCGCGGCGCAGGAAAATAGCGACTCGATGCTCGAGCGTCTCTTTGTACGGACTCTGGCAAGTCTACTTGAATGGGATTCCCCCCCCCTTCGCCGCCCTTGCATGCAGCCCTGGACCGAAAATGCGTGCAAGTGAGTCCCGACTTGCGCGAAGCCCAGATTTCTCTTTCGGGCCTTACCACGACCCACCCGGCCTCCTTGCAAGCGTTGCCTCCCTCTCGCGCACGGAGGCACCGCCGACTGGGCCCGAGGACCACGGCAAACGGTGCGCTCTGATGGTGAGGGGCCGCGGGACCTCGGCCCCAGGGCCTGGCCAACCGGGCGGGCCAGCGGCTCCGTCGGGCCTCCCCTGCCGCCACCAGCACACCGGCACTGGGCCCCCGCTCGGCGCCCCTGGCCTGCTTAAGCTCAGGCCCCCCCCCCTCCCCCTGAAGCGCGCCAGGCGCAAGTTGACCCTGTCGTTCCAGGGAGCCCCGTCGCCCTCCTCGGTGAGCGTCGGCGCGCCCCCGAGCGGAGTGCGCGAAGGCTCCATGCAGCTGCAGCGCGGCGTCGGCGACCCACACATGAGCGACGAAAAGAAACGGGTCGCCTGAGCGCCCAGCGGGCGTTCCCTGCCCTCCAGTGTGGGGCAGCTGCGTCGGTCCTGGCCCGCATGCCCGCGGTTGGCATAGCCATGCGCACTACGCTATGCCAGAAAAAGGGTACACCTCTCGAGACCGCCAGCTTCCGCTGGGCGAGCCCGCCCTCGTTTCACTTCCGCCTGCCTTCCGCCACTGCGAGAAGAGATGTCAACTTCTATATTGCTCGAGGCAAGTCCCTTTCTGGAGCGCCCCACGCGGACACCGCACCCGCGGCCAAGCGCTATTCTGCCCGTCGCCGTCCGAGTTCGCGGCGCCACGACCCGGTACAGCGGCCCTGCTCCCCTTGGCCGCGGGCCCGCCTGGCCGCGCGACCCGCTGAGCAGAAGCAGGGGGGCATCTCCCTGGACGGTTTCCGGCGCTGCCGTGGACCTCGCGGTCGACCATCGCGCCGCGCTCGTTGCAGGCCTGCCGGTGGAAGCCCGCCCCGCCGCAGGCGCAGCTCGGAGACGCCGCGCGCTCGGCCACGAGCGGCCTCCCTGCGCCTCGCTCGGCCACGAGCGGCCTCTCTGCGCCTCTCAACATGGCCGCGCGAGGCGCGGCTCGGCGCCTCCACCCACCGGCGGGGCCGCTGATCGCGGCGGCGCCCCGCAGATCGTGCACGGTGCCGCCAATGGTGCGGCGTGCGACTGCAAGGCAAGAGAAGATCTTGGATACGGACAGATTTGGAAATGCCGGCGGCCGCCCCGAAGCTCTTCTCTCGCCCTGCAGCCGCACACCGCACTGGCCGGGGTCGCCAGTGACGATCTGGTCATGCGCCGCCTCGAGGGTGCTGCTACAATCGCCAGTGGGCGGCGTGCCGGACACAGGATGGCGCGTGCGCCAGCGAGGACTCCCCAGGAGGTGCACCCGAGCTCCGCCGTCGCCCATGTATGGGGGCGGGTGGGCGGCTGTGATCCTAACAGGGATCACGCCGCCCACCCGCAGCATGGAGGCGCGGACCCTCGAAGGGGTGCCTCGAATGCCGCTCGCGCGGGCGCGACGGTGCCTCGGCGATTGCCTGCGAGAGGCTGCAGTAGTGCCGCCTGGGGCGGCTCGCCCTCCTGGGGCCTTCTGGCCGCCCCCCCCCCCCTCGACGCCATGCCAAGGGAGGCGCTCCATCGCCGCGGTCGGCCCCGAGGCTAATGTCGCGCTCGTGGAGCCCACGCAGTCTTTCCTCTGTCTGAGAATCGGGGTAAGATGACAAAGGAATTAAGGTCTCGTGTTGACTCTGCTCAGTAGTAGAGGATACGGGATGAGACATCAATGAAGCTACAAGTAACCGTTAAGCAACTGTACTCAAAAATGGGAAGTGAGGAGGCCGGCCGGCCGACGACGCGACGACGACGAGGGAACGACCCCTCGGCGCGCGCGTGCAAGCCAGCACGCTCCTTTTCTATCCTGTGAGCACATACAGCTGCGGAACAGCGCCGCAGAGTAAAGGTGTGGCAAGGCAGGCAGCAAGACAGGCAAGCGCAGCAAGAGGCGGAGAGGAGCTCATTTACTCCCCCCGCGGCGGGCTTCGTAGGGCCCATCCAGCCACAGCTCGCCTGGCCTGTGCATATATACAGCCACCGGAGCGAACCCCAAGGGCATTTTACCGCTCAGCGGTGGTTGCCAGGGAGCTCAGGGCCGGAGAAACCCGACGAATCCCACCAATAATTAAATAAATTCTCTCTGCCGAAGCGACTTTGTCGTTCGGTCGCGCCCGCGGCGACTTGGTCACCCGGGTTCTGCCTGCTCTCACTTATTGTTCTGAAGGTATCGCCCCGATGGCGGAGACGGAGGTCTCGGATGTGAAAATGACGGGCCCCCCGTCTGATCCGCGGCCCAATAGGGCGAACGTGATCTGTATCCCTTGCCACGGCCAGCGTAGGGCGCTGACCTGTTGTCCTTGCCCTTGCTCTTGGAACCATTTCCTCTTCTCGGAAAGCGGTAGTTGTAGTCATTCAGGTACACAACATGCCACGCGCGTGACTGGTTCTCTCTGGGACTCATCCAAGATATCACGTCCCGGTGAACCCAGTATCCATCCAGTGCACCATTTGTGTAGCGCGGGCAGTGCACCGAGAGGTCGTAGCCGGCAGCCCCGCGCCCGGCATCCATGGCTCCGCCGCGCGCGCGTAGGCCTCGACCAATCCCGTGTGTCCCTGTCAGACGAATACCATGAGTGTTCGTCTCCTGCCGCGGCGGTTTGACCGCCGGCAGAGTAAGGAAATTCAGTGACGTCGTCATTGGCCCGATCGTCTTGGACGTCGGGTCTGCGCGGAGGAGGTGGCGGATCGGGGCGACCAGCTGTTCTGGGCCTCGCTTTCGCCAAAGCAGGCCCCTCCGTATCGGCTTGGCCGTCGGAAGGCCCAGCGCCTCCACTCTCACGAACACTCATCGGTTTTTGCTTTCTAGCATATCTAATAATATCCCTCGCGGCAGTAGCAACAAAAATACCAAACTTGCCGCAGGCACCACTAAAGTGGCCTTCATCTTTGTCTTGGAGCTCGGTGGCTTCCACGAATGGATATATAGCCCATAAATAGCTTCTTGCAACCGCATGCCCTGACGACGGATATTGGTGCGACCCTGTTTGCCCAAGTCATGGGCCCATTCCTCAATGAGGTCGTCTGTCTCAATCGCCGCGCGTATGCGGCAATCAAGGGCGCATGCATCCGCTCGACGCTTGTCATCATCGCACTCTGCGCCGGTGCCGGCGGCGAGAAAGTGAGCCCCAGGGTATGCTATGCAATGTCCCTCGGCGATGAAGCAACTAATGAGCTCGCGAACAATCGCAATCACGCGAATAATGCGGAGACCCAACTCCAGATCTGGAACAGGAATCTTCCAGTTCCATCCAATGGTGTGCCGCACGTCGTCTGGAACATCGTGTGTTATTTCGCCCGACAATCGTAACCTGTCAGGTTCATTTGTGTCCGGGCGATAGCTGGTGCACTCCATGACGCATTGAGCCGCCACATATTTGGCTCCGTCTTCGGTCAACGTGATGCTCAATGATCTGTCGTCGCGATGAGAGTACACATGCCCATCGGGCTGATCAAGATTGATCCTCCCGTCAATTATCTGCTCGGTCTGGGACCCGCAGACTGCGGTGAAATCAATTGTCATGTCTACGTTCTCCTCGCCTGCCGTCACGGTTGGACCGGCGGCAGGTTTGTCATGCTTGCACACTGATATGAGAGGGTGTTCAGAACATATTTTGTTGCGCCTGCTGACGGACTGAGAAG